TAATTATCCATATATTAGGCCATTTACGGTTATCCCACAACTCACTGATCCTTTTTAAATTTTTCTTTGTTTTTTTTTTAATTTTTTAATCTTTGGGTTTCATTCTGGATAGTTTCTATTGCTATGCCCTCAGGTTCACTTGTCTTTTCTTCTGTAACATCTAACCTGCCATTAATCTTGTCCAGTGTAATTAATCCTGTCCAGTATGGTTTTTTTAAAAAAATCTGATATTGTAGTTTTCATCTCTAGAAGATCACCGGGATATTTTTCATACATTCCTTGTCTTAAGTGTTGGGATTACAAGTGTGAGCCACTGCACCCAGCCAGGGCCCTTTTTTTTTTAATTTTTGAGACGGAGTTTCACTCTTGTCACCCAGGCTGGAGTGCAATGGCGTGATCTTGGTTCACTGCAACCTGTGCCTCCTGGGTTCAAGTGATTCTCCTGCCTCAGTCTCCTGAGTAGCTGGAATTACAGGCTCCCGCCACCATGCCCGGTTAATTTTCGTATGTTTAGTAGAGACGGGGTTTCACCTCTTTGGCCAGGCTGATCTCGAACTCCTGACATCAGGTGATCCACCACCTCGGCCTCCCAAAGTGCTGGGATTAGAGGCGTGAGCCACCGTGCCCGGCCACCAGGGTCCATTTTTTAACGGATGTCAGATATTATAAAAACTGGGTATTTTTGCTTCTATTCTTTTGTTTCTGATTCAAATTTTCTTTTTTTTTTTTTTTTTTTTTTTTTTTTTGACGGATCTCGCTCTGTCGCCCAGCTGGATAGTCGATCTGCTACTGCAAGCTCCCTCGGTACCATTCTCTGCCCAGCTCGAGTCTGCTACAGGCCCAAGCCCGGCTATTTTTTTTTTTGTAAGACGGTTTCAATTCTATTCCTGACTTATCGGTCTCCAAGTGCTGTTCAGGTGGCCCCGGCCAGGTCTTGCTTTTTTGGTTTGTTCAGTGCATCCAGAGCTGGAGGACACAAGGATGAGTGAGGCATTAGCTGAAGTGGGCAGACAAGTCCAGGCAGTAACCACAGCAGCATGGATAAGGAGGCAGTCAAAACTCGAGCAGCGGAGCACAATGTAGTCTCAGCCCCACCCTAGCCTCCCGCTTCCTGAAATGGCAGCTGCATGAAGAGGGAAGGCAGAGCGGCAGTTTTCCTGGCTATACTTGGAGGTACTCTCATCAGATATGAAGCTTGAACACAGGAAGACACCAGGCCTCAAATGTAGCTCTGGGGCAGCTGTCAGCAGAGAGTTGTCCAAGAAGAGAGGCCCACCTGTCATCTCGTCCCACTCTGCCGTTAATGATCAGGCCAAGGGCCCTGAGAAGTCATCACACTGCTTAGGCATCAACTGACTCATCTGCAAATCGCGGTTGCTCCACCTGCCCTGCCTAGCTCACAAGGGTGTTCTCTCTTAGGAGTAAAGAAAGTAAAACCTGGCCAGGCGTGGTGGCTCACACCTATAATCCCAGCACTTTGGGAGGCTGAGGCAGGTGAATCATCTGAGGTCAGGAGTCAGAGATCAGCCTGGCCAACATGTTGAAACCCCGTCTCTACTGAAAATACAAAAATTAGCCAGGCATGGTGGTGCACACCTGTAGTCCCAGCTACTCGGGAGGCTGAGGCAGGAGAATCGCTTGAACCAGGGAGGCAGAGGTTGCAGTGAGCTGAGATCGTGCCACTGCACTCCAGCCTGGATGACAGAGAGAAACTCCATCTCAGGAGGGGGTGGGGGGAAGGAAAAGAAAGTAAAATCTTTACTGGGTCTCTGGCCCTGAGAGTGGCTTTCTCTACATACCCCTCTAAGCAATGTGACCACTGGGCCTGCTCATAGAGGGCCCTCAAGATTTGTGGTTAGAAGGCCTGAGGAACTGGACAAAAGTTGAATGTGTGGGCAGTCATAAGGGCCTAAGTTCTCAAACCCCATCACTTACCCCCAACTTGCTTGCAAGGCGTGGCAGGCCCAGCTCTGTCTGACAGAAGCCTAGGGTGAGGGGTCTCCCTACTCTCCAGACTCAAAAGCTTGAGAGCAGTAGGAGATCCAACTGGAGCTTCCAGACTCACGCATTTCTTTCAATCCTTTCCCTCCATCCTTGATTCCCCATGACAGTCAGATGGTAGTGTCTGGAGACAAGGGATCAAAGTTCCCATCTGCCCTCTGACCTCTGCACCAGACCTGCCCTCATCCAGCCTTCCCTGGAAGGGCCTGAGGAAACCTGTAGCTGGACCAGACGAAGCAATTCACCCATGTTGGCACCACTGGCTGCCTCTAGCTAATAGGGCCTGGGCTCCCAGAACCTCACATCTGCCCCTAAGGGTTCCTCTGGCAAGAACAGGGTGACCTAGATCATGCCTTTTGCCCATTACCACCTGGTGATCCAGGAGGGCTTTAGCCTGGTTCAGCTGCCAGAACCTTGATGTTCTTGGGTGGTTTCCATAATCTGCCAGTCAGTTTTCCCAATCGTGTGTGATTTTGGGGGGGTAGAGGAGGGTCTGCTACAAAACTATATATATAAAAAATATATATGCATATGTATACACACACATACACGTTTGACGTAACTGTAGATTCATATATAGTTGTAAGAAATCATACAGAGAGGGCTGGGTGCGGTGGATCATGCCTGTAATCCCAGCACTTTGAGGGGCCGAGGCGGGCGGATCACGAGGTCAGGAGACTGAGACCATCCTGGCTAACACCGTGAAACCCCGTCTCTACTAAAAATACACAAAATTAGCCGGGCGTGGTGGCGGGCGCCTGTAGTCCCAGCTACTCAGGAGGCTGAGGCAGAATGGCGTGAACATGGGAGGTGGAGCTTGCAGTGAACCGAGATCGCGCCACTGCACTCCAGCCTGGGTGACAGCGTGAGACTCCATCTCAAAAAAACAAAAAAAGAAAAAAAAGAAAAAAAAATCATACAGAGAGGCCGGGTGCAGTGGCTCACGCCTGTAATCGCAGCACTTTGGGAGGCCGAGGTGGGCGAATCACCTGAGGTCAGGTGTTCGAAACTAGCCTGGCCAACATGGTGAAACCCCGTCTCTACTGAAAATACAAAAATTAGCCGGGCATGGTGGCAGGCGCCTGTAGTCCCAGCTACTTGGGAGGCTGAGGCAGGAGTATCACTTGAACCTGGGAGGCGGAGATTGCAGTGAGCCAGGATCGTGCCACTGCACTCCAGCCTGCTTGACAGAGCAAGACTCCATCTCCAAAGAATAATAATAATAATAATAATAATACAGAGAGATTGTGTACACTTTGCTTAAATTCCCCCAATGCCTGTAATCCCAGCACTTTGGCAGGCCGAGGTGGGCAGATCACGAGGTCAGGACATCGAGACCATCCTGGCTAACACAGTGAAACCTGTCTCTACTAAAAATGCAAAAAAATTAGCCGGGCCTGGTGGCAGGCGCCCCTAGTTCCAGCTACTCCCACTCCAGCCTGGGTGACAGAACAAGACTCTGTCTCAAAAAAAAAAAAAAAAAAAAAAAAAAAAAAAAAATCCCAGAATGATAACGTTTTACAAAACTGTAATAATCACAACCAGAATATTGACACTGGTAAATTCCACTGGCCTTAGTCAGATTTTCCCAGTAAATGTGTGCCATTTTAATGATAAGACCACAAAAGCTTTGACCCAAGTTTACCAACTTAGCAAGTTGCCTTTGACCCAGGGGAACCTCACCTCAACCGCTTCGTGTGTTCCCTAAAACCGAAAACAGGTGAACAGGAGTAACTTAACATTTCAGGGGATATTATGTGGTAAGCTCCCTGCTCATGTCATCATTTAATCCTCACAATAGGCCGGGCACGGCTGCTCACGTCTGAAATCCCAGCACTTTGGGGGGTTGAGGCAGGCAGATCACTTGAGGTCACAAGTTCGAGACCGGCCTGGCTAACACGGTGAAACTCTGTCTCGACTAAAAATACAAAAAAATTAGCCGGGCGTGGTGGTGCGCTATAATCCCAGCTACTGGAGAGCTGAGGCAGGAAAATCACTTGAGCCCAGGAAACGGAGGGTGCAGTGAACCAAGATCGTGCCACTGCACTCCAGCCTGGGCGACAGAGCCAGACTCCATCTCAAAAAAAAAAAAAAAAAAAAAAAAAAGGCGCAGAGAGGGTGGGCGTGCCAGGGCCCCCGGTAGCCCAGTCCTGCCGCACTCTACCAGTCGAGCACAGCCCGAAGGCCAGGGAACAAACACAGAAGGAGGCCGAGAGGGCCCGGAGCAGGGTCCTGCCGCGAAGGGCCTGGGCTCAACGTTAGAGTGCGGCGCGACCCTACTCTGGCTGCAACGAGACGGGTGAGTGAGGTGGTCGCCCGGGATCTCCCAGAATCCGAGCTCCTGACGCGGGAGGGCCAGGGGCCTCCGGAAAACTGCGCGCGCCCCGCCCTGCCCAATCCTGCCCCGAGCCGCCCGCTCCTCCCCCGCTGCGTAGCCCTCGGCTGCCCTCTGCCGCCGCGGGGCGGACCCTGCAAGCCCCGCTGTCCCCGCCTTCGCACCGCCCACCCCCGCCTCCGGATTGGCGGCTCCAGAAATCTCCAGGCCACCCGCTTTCCGCTACCGGATTGGCTGCGCCCGGGCGCTAAGGCCCGGCCCATTTCCCCGGGTCCTTTGATCACGCGCCTGACGGCTTTTCCGGGGCCGGGGAGCCAACCGAGGGCGTTCCTGTCGGGGCTGCAGCGGCGGGAGGTAAGGCATGGCCAGGCCGGCTGGGCTGCAGAGCGCCGGCACGGGTCCACGCCTCGGGGTGCCAGGCTTCCAGGATGTTCGGGCGCGGGGCGGCTCATCCGCGTCCCCCAACACCCCCCACCTCCGGCCTGAGCCTCCCAGCGCCGTGGGAACCACCTCCTGTCCACTGTTGCTGGCCCGCATCCTAGCAGCGGCCTGACGCCCTCCCCACCCTGGCATGCCCCCTTGGCCTGGGACGATGAGCATACGACTGGGTAAGGGCAAGCTCGATGCCCCGTGCCCTACGGACACGGGGGTAGGTCGTTCATACCTTGCCCTCTGATAGAGACTCAAGCGAACCTGGGTCGCGGACCTTGGGCCATCAGCGTGCAAACCGCCCCAGGACGATCTCTTTGCTTCTGTCGATGGGGACTGACCCTCTCCACCTCTGCCTGTCAGCCCAGGCCAGGAGGGGAGGGACCTGGGCGGAGCCCTGGGTGGAGACAAGAGGAAGGTGACATCATCTTGAAGATACAATCCAGCTTTACCCACTCGTGTCCACCCTGGCACACGAAACCGATGGGGCAGAGGGTGTTCGGGCTGTATGTCTGAGGTGACACCAGGGACAAGGGCATAGAACTCAGGCATGGAGCCCATCGCTTTAAGTGGGATTGGACCAGAATGGAAGCGGAACTCCTTCAGATGCTCCCACCTCACCCCTGGCTGCAGTGCAGGTCCCTCCTTTAGACCTCATTTATCCATTTTGCTCCACTGGACAGGTACTGGCAGCCCAATGCCCCAAAAGGGCTGGGGCAGGCACTGGAAACCTGCACTTCTTTCCCCAGAAGTTGAGACTTGTAAATGTCTCTAGCTGGGCCCCGCCCTGATATAGGGATAGGAGTTGGGCAGGACTCAGCCCTGGATCCAGGCCTTCCCTTGATCCCCTTTCCTGCCAGGATTTGCCAAGACTCACTGGAGGGTTATACCCGGTACATCTACCTGGAGGATCCCTCCTCCCAGGATTTGACCTGGGACCAGTTTTCATAGATCTCCAGCTCTGGGGGAGGGATCCAGAGTCTGGATGTCACCTGGGTGCAACTGATAACCTCCCTTCCTCCTCCCCAGGGAGCCCAGTGGAGGCGCCCTCCCGAAGTGCCACTGCCCATGCTGACCAACCACCCAGCCCTCCGGCTGCTGATGTCATGAGTAACACCACTGTGCCCAATGCCCCCCAGGCCAACAGCGACTCCATGGTGGGCTATGTGTTGGGGCCCTTCTTCCTCATCACCCTGGTCGGGGTGGTGGTGGCTGTGGTAAGGAGCCCTCATATACACACAGACACCCACAGCTTTGCTAAGGCAGGGGCTGGGTGGGCCTGGTCCAGTCTGCACAGAGTCCCCACTGTCCTGTTGAGGGAGTGAAGGGTGTAGAGGTGGGCCTCTCTCTGCTTGTGGGCCTTCCCCGGGCTCAGCAGCCCCCACAGTGCTGTGTCTCTGTTGCAGGTGATGTATGTACAGAAGAAAAAGCGGTGAGTGTCCCTGTCTCCCCACCTGCCCTATCCCCACACCCATTCTGAAATTCCTGCTCATAGGCTCTGAGTTTTCTGTAAGAAGCCATCCTGATACAAGCCTGAATTTTGTTTTCCTTGCCCCAGCCTGAGGTTACTCACTGGGGAAAGTCCCTTTGTAGAATCAGGGTTGTATTCTTGGAACTATAGTGTGTCCCAAAAGGCACCCACTGGAAGTGCCCCTGCCTGGGAGAGGGAGGCGAGATGGGGCAGCCAGGTGTTTGATGAGGGTTGGGGGGCCTCCTAGGCTGAGTCCCCTCCCCTGCTCCCCAGGGTGGACCGACTGCGCCATCACCTGCTCCCCATGTACAGCTATGACCCAGCCGAGGAACTGCATGAGGCTGAGCAGGAGCTGCTCTCTGACATGGGAGACCCCAAGGTGAGCACTTGGGCGCCAGGGGGAGAATGAGGCAAGGTGGGGGTTAGCCCTGTTCCCAGCCATACTCGTCCACACTGAAACCAGAGCCTGGTTCTGCTTACTTGGGCTGTAACTGAGTGCTGCAGACTCCCAGAGAACACAGCCCAACCTTGTGGTGTGGTCTCTTGCCCGACAGGTGGTACATGGCTGGCAGAGTGGCTACCAGCACAAGCGGATGCCGCTGCTGGATGTCAAGACGTGACCTGACCCCCTTGCCCCACCCTTCAGAGCCTGCCGTCCTGGACTGCCTGGGGCCCTGCCGTCAGCCTGCTTCCCCTGGCTCCCCCTGCTGGGTGCTGGGTCTCCATTTCTCCCTCCACCCACCCTCAGCATCTGCCTCCCATGCCCTCACCATCACCTCACTGCCCCCAGGCCTTCTGCCCTTTGTGGGTGTCGAGCTCACTGCCCACCCACAGGCACTCATGGGAGGTTTTCCTTCTGGGATGGGGGCGGCTGGGAGACACCTTTGCTTTCTCTAGCCCTCCTGGGCTTGGCTTGGGCATAAATCCCCAGGAGGACTTTGGAGTTGTTTCCATGGTGATGGGGCCAGATGTATAGTATTCAGTATATATTTTGTAAATAAAACGTTTTGTGGCTAGGGGTTTTGTTGATTTCATCAAGAAGCTTAAAATGACCTTCCTCTGAGGTGATTCCAGTGCTGTTTCCCCTCCCTTCCCACAGCCTGAAGGACAGGGCCAGAACCCAAGTGTCACCTACCCTACCTGCCCCAGGCTTTAGGGGCACACACCACAGTAGACTCCAGTCCAGAAAAGGATATTTTTTTTATTCAAGTAACTGCAAATAGGAAACCAGAGGGGGAGCCCCAGGCTGGGACAAATCACGGCTACCCCTCCCCAACAGAACAGGGGGAGGAGGCGGCCCCTACACCCTTTATGGTCGATTTGGGCCCCCTTGCTCACTCTGCTGCAGCATCCTAGGGGCAGGGCCCCACCTTCCCTGGGACTGGGGTAGTCGGTCACCCAGCCTGCCATGCCCCAGCCCCTCTTCCCCACAAAGAGTATCTTGGGGGAGGGGATCGTGGGCAGAACAGGAGGCAATGAGGATGAACATTTGGCGCTGGTAGCAGCAGCAATGACGGATGTCGAAGAATGGAACATTGAACAAAAAACAACACAACTGTCCAGAGGTAGTTTGTGAACAGAGGAAAAATGGAACCAGAACCTTGGGGGGCAGGGAGGAGCAGGAGGGGGGTTGGGAGAGGGCAGGGTGAGCTCCTTGTTATTGGTGCCCCATCTGAGGAGGGGGAAATGGCTGAGTGGCGGAAGCAAAGTAGGGTGAGGGGAGCAGCCCCAGCCCACCTCAGGTGACGGCCACAGGGCTCGTGGGCCTCACCTGGACAATAAGCGACTGCATCTCCATCACTACCACATGTACTCAGATCCCAGGCGGAGGGCAAGGGGGCTGTGGCCACAGTGAAGCGGGAGTAAGGACACACCCCTCCTGCCTTCCTGGAGCCAAAGGGGGCTGCCCAACCTAGTGCAGGGACTAGGGAAGGTGGGGAAGGATGAAAAGTGTGAGCCCCATGTGATGACAAAGACAGTTTGGCTGGGGGAATCCTGGGGCCAGCACCCCCTCCACTGGCCACACCTGCTGCTGCCAGGGCAGTGGAGTAGGGCGGGCCAGGATGAGATGGGGCTTGGGCCCCTTTTAAGGCCAGGGGAACCCTCCCAGGTCCCACTACAGGAAGCCAGAGGGAACAGTGAAGGAGCAGAGAGAGCGCCCCCAAACCAAAAGCCCAGAGAGCAATGTCCCCACCACCAAGGGAGTGGGGACGCAGCAGGTGCAGGGTGCGGCTAAGTGGGATGTTAGCCTTGTCCAGGAGGGCATGTGTGTATGCGTGGGTGGGCAGGGGGAGCTGGGAACTGAGGCCAGGGGAAAACTGCTCCCCACTCAGCCCATGGGAGCCCTGCAGCGGCTGGTGTGCTGTGTAGTGTGGTGGTGAGGGCACAGGTGGAAGATGGGGGTGGCGGCCAGAGTCGGTGGTGATGGTGGGTCTGGGGAAGGGGCGGGGGCGGTGGGAGCGGAGCAAAGCTGTCCAGTCCCAGAAGGAAGCTGCTCCTCCAGTGAGGGGCAGGCGGCACGCATGGGTCACTGCTCCTCCTCCGAGGATTCCTGCGAGATGCCCTCCTCTTCCTCCTTCTCCTGCGAGGTGGGCAGTTGTTGGTGTGAGCTCTGGCCTGGCCCCCCTCTTCCACCCCCAGAGGCTGGCCCCCACCCGCTCCCTGCACTCCCTGGCTCTCCTGAAGAGGGATGAGTCAGGGCTGAGTGTGTGGGTGACTCAGCAACCTCCGCGGCCAGGCTTCATTCATAAAAAGAATTTAAAAGGAGGAAAAAACCCCACACACATGCTGCTGTCACCCAGAGCCAGAAGCCAAGCCCCCTTGGCCCCCAAGCCCATGGAGCACAGGAGGGCAGAGCTCAGGGCAGCACTGAGCTTCAGGACGTGACTGGCTCCCTAGGGGAGAAGAGGTGGGGAGGAGGTGGCTGGGGGAGGAAATGGGAAGGGGTGGCTGGAAGGTACATGAGCCCTCTGGTGGGTGCAGGGGAACCAGGTCCTTGGCCCACAGGGGCAGATGCTGCGCTGTGGTGCCCTGGCCCTCGGGAGTGGCCGAGGGCTGACCCCAGGCCGGGGTGGGGAGGAAGGGGAAGTGTGTGCCGCCGGGGCTCACTCACTGGGCGGGAATGTCGGGACACCACACGGGGCTACAGCCCCCGTGCCAGGCACAAACTCCAAAACAACTTGTTTCCTGTTACTCACTCTTGGGGCCTGGCCAGCAGCACCCCCTACCCCCCTCCACCCCAGCAGTGGCTCAGCTCGAGGAATGACAGCTTCAGGGATTTGAGGGGGCAGGCTGGGGGTAAGAGAAGGCCAGGAGCTGGAAGGCTGGGGTGACCCTAACTGCAGTGGCCCCCTAGAGGCAGCCTCCTGACTCAGCCCACCGAGCCTTTCCACCAGCTGTTTGAGGGCCCAGAAGTGGATGGTGCCCTTCAGTGCAGTGTGGTGGGTCACATCAGAACTCCAGCACTGACCCCTCCCAGGGCCCAGCTCCTTCACTGTTTCTCTTCTCCAGAGGATGATAGGAAGGATAAACCTTGCCCCTGTGGCTTCCTTTCTTCATCTCTAATTGAGGGGAACACAGGCTAGATGACTTCCCAGATTTCCCCCAGAAGTTCTGAGGATTCTAGGAGCAGGAGAGGGACCTCCCACACAACTAGGGCAGGGCAGGGGGATGTGGTCTGGTTTGTACCTGGGACCCCTCACTTCTCATGGGCACAGCCCAGGCCAGGCACCCTCCCCGCTCTGGACTTGTATAAAATCTGATGTCCCAGCAGGTCAGGGACAGCCTTTCCATAGGGGGTGCATAGCATTAGGTACTATGTACTCTTAACACCCTCACTCAAAGAGCCCACGAGGTAAGCAGCAGTCTGCTTCTTCACCTACCAGTTTTTTGGGTCTGCCCCTTGGTTTCCTTCCTGGAGTTGTGGTGGTTTTCTAGAGGGTTAGAGAAAATATCTCCTAAGTCCAAAATGCTCAACAGTGCTCACCTGATGCCCAATGGTGAGGGAGGGGCAGACCTACCTGCCTGTTCAGGGCGGCCCAACACTCTCACCCAACAGGCCCACCCAAGTCCAGCTAGCGATGACTGGCCAGCCACATTTGCCCCCTCAACATACACACACGCCCCCTACTCCCATCTCCACCCATGACTCAGAGGATATGAGTCGTGTCTTAGAAAAAATAAAATAAAAAACAAAACAACTTTTCTGAAAGGCTGATGCCACTGTGAATCTGGCCTTTGCTGCCTGTCCCCACCCCTTCAGGCTTCAGGGGACCCCAAGAGGAGAAGGTAACATTCTCAGCCCAGGGGCTGGCAGGGACCCTCCACTCTCCCCACTCCGCCTTTCTCTAGATCAGGAAAGCCGTGGGACTTCTGACCTCATCTCCGCATTGTCCTGGGCAGGACCAACCCCACAGAAGTGAGACCTTAGTCACTGCCCCACTCTCCCCAATTAGCAAAGACTCATTGCCACCCCTGTACCAGGGAAGGGGGTGCACAACTGGGATGACTGAGCCCCTTCCCAGACCTCCCCACAGCCGTGGCCATGGAGCCAACAAGGGGATCCTCTGCTGGTCATCCACCCAGGGCTGGTCCCATCTCAAGTCTCACCCGGGTCTTGGCAGCACCCTTGTTTTTGCTTCCCTTTGGTCGGCCCCGAGGTCTCTTAGGTGTTGGCACTTCGCTGGGCTCCTTCTGTAAAGACAGAGAGGATAGTCAGGGACAGTCACTACCTGTGTTTCCATCCCCTTAGAAGACACAGCCCTCTGCCTCCTCAACAAGGTTAAGTCAGCAAGAACCAAGAACCACCTCTGACCCAGGAATCCCTTCAGGATCCAAAGCTCCAGTTTGAGCATCTTTGCAAAGTGCCTCCCATCCCTCCCCTTGCCTCCCTGCAGATTTCTAAGACGCAAAATGACAAGAGCCCAGAAGACCCCTAGGAAAAGCATTCTGGGGACAGAAAGATACTGTTAGGTGGCTCTGCCCAAGTGTCAGTTCTGACACTGATCCTGGGCAGGATACGTAATGCTGGAGCCTCAGTTTCCTCATCTATAAATGGTAAAGACTTCCCTCGCAGGGTTGTCATGGAGATTAAATGGGTAATGTATGGTTATCTAGCACTGTCCCGTGATCACTGCCCACCCTCTCAGATGACCTATGCTGGACACACACTCCCTGCCTGCACTTACAAACCTGGAGCCCATCCAGGCTGCCCCCAGAGAAGGGGAATTACAGCCGGACTCCAGAGATCCCTGCCATCATTCCCACTGAAATTTTAATAAGCCCTAAATAGAATAAAAAGCTGCTGCATAATGCATAGAAGGTACACGGTGAAGGTGCGCCAGCTACTGTTTCCTAGGGGGCTGCCCATGGCCTGTCTATAACCAGGATCCAGTAATCCAGCACCCCTCTTGACACCTCCCACTGACCATGGCTAACAGCTGGGATAGGAGGGGAGGCTGAGGGAGCTAGGCTAAGAGGACAAATGATCCCACCCCAGGCTCTAAAGGTGGCTGCCGAATTCCAACACAGCAGACTCATCACAGCTCGTGTCTCCCTAGGCCCAGGTCAGCACAGACCACTCTCCACCTTATGGACAGGGAAAACCTACAGGTGAACAACCTACATCATGTTTAAGGGGCA